AGCAAGATATTTTAACAGAACACGAGAAAAAATAAAATACTTATTTATTTTTGTTGAAATAATTCAAAATTACGCCAGTTACTTGATTTTAACTTAATTTACAGAAGGTAATTGCTTATACAAATTGTGTCTTTTAGTACTGCAACGTTACTAGTGTTATTAAAAGGTGAATTAAAGCTATTTCGCAATTGCGTTGTTTAGGATTCTTCTTTAGGATTAAAAAAAAAAGTAAAAAGAAAAACAAGAGACGAGTTCTTTTTTTTTCTCTATGGCTTCGCATGTTTTGTACATATAGACAGTAAGTCAATAATTTATATCAAGTTTTGCCCAAATCGAGCTCAAAATGTTTCAAGTAAGTCATAGTCGCTCCGTCAGTCATGTCAAGAGCTCAGGTATAGTGGTGAAACAATACCAAAACCATGTCAAGCGGAGTAATGAAGAAACACAAGATATCACAACAACGGAATCGAGTTTCATCTTCCCTACAATAGTGGTATTTCATTACACCAAATTGAATAAAACTGCATTAAAATTATGCGACCTAAGTCGAATTTAACACTTTTTTTCAGAACATCGAACCCGAATCTTTTGTTTGTTAGCTGCGGGATTTTGATAGCTGCGTTATCAAAATCCCGCCATTACTCCAAGAGACGAGTTATGAGAGTGGTTAAACCAAAATAAATATAAAATATTTAAATTTCAACAGTAAAATGAAGCGCATAAATACTGTATATAACTTTATCAGCCACTAGATTCGTCTGGTAAATTAACAGAGAGTTTATCTAATAGAATAACGTCTATCTGAGACTTGTAAAAACAAAATTGCAATGTAACAGAAAAGTTTCTAATGGCTATCAAGGACCTTATCAGCAAATGGTGAAGCCGGCCCTAAAAGGAGAAGAGATCTTTCTGTTGAACCACATGTCATGTTATCACATGTGCCGCGGTATCAGCAACCGTTCACGAGCATGGTCAGTCATAGTTTCGCTGAACCATATTTTAGGGAACGAAACGATCCAACCCACACTATACCACCGCAGACTTTAAAAAGAGCATGATTCTATCTACCCACTCCTGTTAAGGAAGATAGTAAATCTTTTAACACATTTATTAGTATCTGCAGGACATAGCAAGGGATCGCTGTCGGAAGTCACCACTTTTATGCAATTTATGCAATGCCGTAGCATTTTTTCTTCCTTTTCATTTGCTTTAAATTTTCAACAAATTTAACTGCATCCAAAAGTATATAATATTACACTAGATAACAAGAGTGAACTGAAATAGTGGAGCAATCTTTGTTACTTATTGCATTAAATACGACTACTAATTGGTTTCCAGCCTGTCGCCCATATATAAGATAACAAAAATCTATTCCCTCGGTTGATATTTACAACTTGGGGTAATGACAAGCCCTGAGTCCCATTTATTTTTAAATACATTTACCGAATATTTATAAATCATTGATTTGTACTCTTACGTTGGTTTTGAAGTATTTAAATATAAATATCTAGAACAGTTCACACTATAAATTACCTGAACTTTAATGAAAAAGCAGTAGAACTAGTAGTACTAGTACTAGTACTAGTGGAAAATAACGAGTGCTTGAGAGTTACCTGGACTTAATGAAATTTTTAACCATTTTTCTTTTAGCTAAAATTAATATTAGTAAATTTCACAGTAATATTACAATTAAAATAAACGTTGACGACGTTAATATGCTTTGATTTCATAAATGGGAAAGTGTTGTTTTTTGCCCTTTTTTCACGCTGCAAATTTGTTGGGTCGAGTTTTTTGTGATATGAGTTAAGTATAAAGACAAGAGAACGGTTGGAGATTCACATAAATCAACTGACTCAGATTCCTCAAGTCAAGGCAAATTATTTTACAATATATCACTAATTCAACTAATAGTATTACATATTCAGGTTAATGTTAAGTAAATTAGCCTAACGCTGGTTTTTCATTATTATTTCTTCAGTGAAAATTTTTGAATTAGAATAAATCTACAGCTATATACAGAAGTAGCAAACTTCTATTTGGAAGTGGGTATTATATTGTGGAAATAATTTAATGCGTTTTGCAATTACTGGTGGTTATGTTGGTACATAACTCTTTATATTGCCATATTAATAAATTTATAGGCGTAGTCATAAAAATGTATTCTACAAATATATATTTTTTTATCATTCGAGTAAAATTATTATAAAATTTCTCAATGTCAACCATGCATCGTCAGTTTCAAAATTTTTAATATAATATTCTAATTACCAACCCGACTAAATTGGGAATATTCGAGATAACTCTTTATTTTTTAATGAATTTTCAGCTTTCTTTAATTTTGGGGTCGGCACATTCCAACGCAAGATGAGTCGCATAGAATCAGTCACGAAACTTTAGAACTAACATATCGCTAGTTTTAACTAAAATATCATTTCATAAAAATTACGCCATCGAACACTTCATATTAAAGTGCTCATTTACAGAAATGATTTTATAATACCTGTGATCCTGATTAATTGACATGCTGTCAGTTTACAATACCTTCTTTCAAGGCATAATTATTACTGTAATTAAAACGGGACGGATAACAACGCGTGGTGGGATTTGATAAATTTTTAACATAACCTTTCTGTATAATGATCATAAAATGTGATGAAGCTCTTTAATGATAATGACTACCCTTAAAGTATGCTCAATACTGATGAAAGCTTTCGTGGACTTTAGACTTCATAAAAAGGTCTATTTGTTAAAATGAGACACCGCCATGACTTAATGGAAACAAGATAGTTTTTGATATATGATGAGTTTAGGAGTAATCACCTATCCGGTTGTTGGATTATCTTAAGTCCAAGCATTCTTATCTGTTATATAATCAGATACCTTATAAGCTTTTTAATAAGTATTTTTTATAGTAGATTTAAGCTGCATGATAATAACACGATATTTCAGGTTTTCCATTTTTTATATCACCCAGTATAAAAAAGGGAAAACTTGAAATATCGTGTAAAATCGTAAAAAGGACAAACAGAAGTAAAAAAACAAATGAATATCACGTAACCAACCACAAATATGGTATATAAATGGCTGTATAAATTTGAATTTGGAATTCCCAACCAAGGAGGAGAAATTTGTGATTAAAGTACGACAAAACGCCAATTTAATATGTAAGGACTTAATATTAAATCTCAAAAATATTATGAGCCTTCCATTCATTCATTGATTAGCTTTATACCTCTATATTGATGAAAACCCCATTAAAATCCGTTGTGTAGTTGAAAAGATCTCGGCGTACAGATTTAATTTTGTAAAATTATAGAATAGCAAAGTAGTTTATTAATTGTATTATTTTCTCTCTAGTATATGTGATTAGGTATTTATAGAAGACAATTTGATCAAAATAATTGTATATAGCCTTCAAAGATAATTGTGTTTAAAACTTGAGTTAGACAAAAGACGAAGTGGTTCGAAATAACCCCTTTTTAAACTAAGGATAAGTTAATATTTGTAATCAAATAAAAATTATTTTATGATTTTACGATCGATTGTTTGCAAAAACTGAAACATATTTCTCAATAATTTGCTCGATAGAAAAACACCGCAAAGATGACTTCAAAGAGGTTTTTTGGATCGTCATTACTATTAATATCATCATCGTAATCGTTATCGTCCACCCTTTTACGCCCCCACTACAGGAGCTCAGGCCTTCCTTATGGGTGGATAAGGAGAATTGGCCATGACCCTCCACCCTGGCCCAATGCGGATTGGAGGGTATTAACGAGACTTAACGTGCCTTCCGAAGCACGAAGTAGCACGAGGTAATTTTTTTTTTTGCTCACCTACCCTGTGATCAACCCTTGCAAAAGTTGCTTTACAACAACGGGCCGCGGCGCTCATCCTTTACGCCACGAAGCTACTAATATGTCATCGTAAATAAAAAATACATATATACAAACCTTAATTATATGATAACTTAATTATAATATTTAAATATCTTTTAAAAAATCGCTATCGCTATCACATGTTGAATAATTGTAACGTGAAGTTCTTTTAAATGTCAAGTTGACAGCATATTTTCTTACAAGTATTGATTTTATGTCATTTCTAATTTATTCATTTAAAGTAACGAAATGAAAATTGCCATTGAGATTTATTTGTTTTCTGCAGAAGATCGTTGGTAACAGATTTATTCGTGTCCTTGGGCTAGATTGATTGCTAGATTAAATTTAAAAAAATGGTGATTTGTATGCTGTCGATAGAATATTCCAGAGTAGCTGCGTAGTAATTTACTTATGATTTTTAATTTTCCTAATGCCAGCAATTTATTTCATATCCTCAATCTAGAGGCTCTTAATAAATGTGAAATTGAACTTTAACTCAAATAAAATCAAAGAATTATTTTCCAAATGAAAAATATTAACGGGGTGACTATTTTATAAATAAGTGCAATAATAACTTTTAATTAATTATTTCAACATTAATATGTATGAGTACAGTACATGTATGTACAAGAATTATATTTCTAAAATTATACTCGGCATTCATGATTCCCTTTTTGTTTTCCATTAAATATTATTGTATTAAAAGCCTTTCATTTCGTTTTTTTTTTAATTTATGAAATTTTTATATCAATTTATCCACCACCATGGTTTAAAATTCGAACTTTACTATTTTCATTTTAATTAGGTATTTATAGTAGACAATCTGAACAAAATAATTATATATAGCCTTTAAAGATAAATGCATCTAAAACTTGTGTTAGACAAGAGATGAAGTTATCCACAGACCCTCCTTAAAGTAAATCTAAATTTCCAAGTAGTCATTAACTCGTCTTTTTTTTAAGTATCTTCGGTGCACAGGGTATGTCCCTGTACAACGTATAATCAATGCTTACACCTCTACAAGTTTGCGTTTGCAATCACGTTATACCAGTTTAACTTTAGCGCTCACTAATAATAAGGTTACGAATCCAATGACAAACATTACGATAACGGCACTGCTAATATTTTCACGTTTCTTTGTATAAAAGGTCACCTTCTGAAGCAGCATATATTATTCCAAAGAGTGTCTTATACGCTTCACTACAGAATACAGCAGTTATTCAAACTATTTCATAAAAATGAAATTCTCTAAAGTTTTCTTCTTTTTCTTTGCATTCGTTATGGCTATGTCCACTACTTCAGCAAGGCCTGAGAACTTCTTTAAAGAGCTGGTAAGTTTTTTTTTTTTATATAAAGGTTTTAATTACTCCTGTGGCTAAGTGGTTCACATACTGATAAGATATTTCAAAGGGGGGTGAAAATATTACACATTTTTCGTATGTTTCCTGCGATTATTTAAGTTATGTAATAAAAGTATCTTAGGACTGGGTGTAACGCCAAAAAATTGTCCTTGTTCGTTAGTCATGGACCAATACGGCGAATGGTGTTTACCCAGCAAAAAAGGTTTATAAGAATATAATAACTTTATATTTTTTTATCGATAAATCTTTATAAATTCACCTTTGGCTATGACAGATCCCTTAAAATAAAAAGTCAAATATAATATATATCTACTTTTTACATAAGTTTTAATATTAGGCAGGATAGTAAGCGAAACCGTATTCTTTAGAGTTACGTACACAAAAGGTAAAAACGGGACGTCATTATTACGTCTCCGCTGTCCGCCTGTATTTGTCACCAATCTCGTGAATCATAATAGCTAGACGATAGATATTTTCATACATTGTGTATTCTAACAATATATACTGTTGCGTCTCTAACAATAAATACTAGTAAATTTTTAAAAGGGGCGCAAATTGATTTTTGCGTTTTTTATAGATAAAGGTACAGAACTATTGGTGCGTGAGCCCGACTCGCACTTGGGCGGTTTTCTGTTGTTTCTACGCCCGATGATGGTATATCATAGAAACATAAAATTCTTGAAGATTAATACAGTTTCTCATTTTGTTTTAGGAGAGAGCGGGACAAAGAGTAAGAGATGCCATCATAAACGCTAAGCCAGCCATTGACGTTATTTCGGATACCCAAAAAGTTTGGAAGGACTTCCAGACATAAATTATTAGTTTATTTTTTTTCATTTTTTAAATTAGATTTTAAATACTGATACTTCTTTTTATACACAAAAACTGTACAGATTTATAAAATTATATTTATTGTGATACTATTTTTATGTGAAATAATATAAGACACTTAAGAACACTTTCATTGAATTTTATTCCTATAAGCTAAAATAAATATTGAAACAACGTTTTTAACTACTAATCACTAGGCAAATGAGCTACTAATACTAATGAATAGGAAAAGCCTCGAATATTACTCATAACAGAAACCCCCTGTGCTGTACGACGAAACTTTCTTTTGTTTATAATTCTTTAATACACGTTTTCAAATTGTTACGAGTATTTCCCCATGATATAATTAAATTTTAGAATTGGTTTACTCTTCTGAATAGTTGTGAGCGTGCTTTAAAACAAAATTCTCTTTATAATTTACTTTTTTTTTAATCTATGTCTTCTTACCGAATCCTCTTGCCTACACAGCAATATCGACGGTGGAATGTAAAGAGTTACCAAGCGCCATATTGCAAATTTTACAACAGAGCCGTCTAAAGATTTATTTTTTATAAAAAAAATCGTAGAAAATTAACTATTATAGGTATTTTTAAAAATCCAATAGATTTTTAAATTATTTTAAATTGGCTTTATTAGTAATATATTACAAAGAAATATTTCTGTATATTTTTTTGGTTACAATTTACCTGAAATAAGAAGCAGGTAAAAGTTACCAACCTACAAAAATATTTTATCTTTCAAACTGGCAAAGATGTCCAAATTATTATTTATTTTCAAAACGTTTGAAGCGAAAAGGGACAAACAGGGAATTATTTTTTGAATTGAACAAGCAAAGAAGTCTAGCTTTCTTAAAATTGTATTATTATAAGAAGCAAAGTTTCCTATTCAACATATCAAATTATGTAAGTGTTAGTAATAATTTACCTGTCACCAAATAAATTTGACCTAGAGTTCAAAGCAAATTGAAAAAATGAGACATCCAAACAATAAACTTATTAAATTACTTATTAAATTAGGTACATTTATTTATTACATAAATTAGGTAAGTAAATAAAATTTAAATATTATATGAATATAACTTACCGATGCTGAATCGTTACTTTCAACACCAGAAATTAATAAAACTCGGCCATTTATGTCATCTACTCGCCGAATGCGATTCATGTTAAACTAAAAGATTTAATTATGTTTAAAAAATCTATCACTCATATAAACAGAAACACAAATTTGCTTGAAGATAATACTGTCAATACATACAAAGTGTCGTGTCACACAAGACAGTCCTAACGAACGGGAAGAACCTTCTGAAGTCCTAAGGTCCTTAGCAACAATGGATAGACGACTGATCGATTAAACCGTTACCATTCACCATACTAGGTAAGATTCTCAGCGCAGACAAGCGACAACGCGTCAAGTGTTTGTTTGAACTAAATACATTAAAATCAAATATTTTTTTCAGTAATAAGTATCCAAGTAACACAATTCACGAATAAAACGGCAGGTAAAAAGGTACCAAGCGCCATATATTATCCTATTTTCGGCAAGTAAAAGTGACTATATTGATCTTCGATATGACTACGGTTTGTCAAAAATTACTAAACGACAGAAAAAACATCTCAAAGATTTGTAAAAGAGGCAAAAATACCATAAATAAATAAATGTATTTCAGGTAAAAATTCCCGAGTACCAATTTGATATTAACAGTGGACAGGCAGAAATTTCTTACTGTAGAGTGAATTAAAATTGTGTAAACGCTAAAATTACCAAGTGAAAAAAAATATCAAGTAGATATCACCAAATACCTAGTTTTTCAAAACGTGTCAAAATGTTGTCGCTTGGTCGCCGTAAACAAGAAAAATACCTGTTGTTATGGAGTTCCTAAGCGACATCAAAAGTGTTTGTAGAGACATGGGACTAAGACTAATCGATAGAGAAAATTTCGCTGATACCAAATATATAAAAAACTCATTTTGGCCCCTAATGTCGCTTGGTAACTTTTTTCATTCCACCGTCGATATATTGGGTTGGCACAAAAGTAATGAGACACACTAGAAAAATCTATAACATTTCCTTTTTAAAAATCAATTTTTTCGATAATATTCTAGAATGTTGTAGAACATTCTAGGTACTTCTGGTGCAGGGTATATAAAGCCGCGCTCGCGATTTGTTTAGTCAGTGTGAAGAAAAATGGACGAGCAACAAGTTCGAACACTATACTTATACGAGTACTTGTTAGGCCACAGTGCGCGGGCTGCGGCTGACAATATCAACAATGCATTAGGCGCTGGAAGTACAAGCCATGCGACGGTGTCCCGATGGTTTGACCGTTTTAAATCAGGAGACAGGAGCCTTGAAAGTCAGCCACGCTCAGGGCGACCACCCGCAGTGAATGATGACGATTTGCGCCGCGAACTGCAGTTGAATCCGGATGCTACCACTCGTGAATTAGCGGAAGCACTTAAATGCAGTCACCACGCCGTGGAACACCATTTGCATGAGCTTGGTTATCGAAAAGTTTTGGCTCGGTGGGTACCGCACATCCTTACAGACGCCAGTCGTGCAGTCCGTGTCGCTATCTGTCAGTCACTTTTGCTGCGACCCCGACGTAAAGAGTTTTTGTCAGATCTGGTTACTGGAGATGAATCATGGATTTATTACGAGAACGATACACGTCGTGCTTTTTGGCTGCCTCGAGAAGAAACGCCACCAACTCAACCGAAGCCGAGTCAAAAGAACCGCCGAAAAATTCTGCTTTCCTGTTTCTGGGATGCGCAAGGCATACTGTTTTATGAGCTGTTACACAATGAAACTATAAACGCTGACAAATATTCAACCCAGCTTACCAAATTATCTGCCGCTATCAAGAAAAAACGACGAAAACGAGTCAATGTAGTTTTACTGCACGATAACGCTCGACCTCACGTCACATCTGTGGTTCGCCGGCAGTTGGAGAACTTGGGCTGCGAGACGATACCCCACCCACCTTATTCCCCAGACCTCGCCCCATCAGACTATTATTTGTTTAGAGCCCTGAAACAGCATTTGCGGGGTAAACAATTTAATGATTTCTCTGACGTGGAGGCGGAGTTGAACAACTTTTTCGAGGCACAGCCATCAGAGTTCTGGGCAAAAGGCATCCAAACTTTGCCAGATCGTTGGCAAGAAGTCTTAGATACTAATGGTAATTACATCATTGACTAAACTTTTTTTATTGTAATAATAATAAAAAAGTAAAAACTTAAACCAAGTGTCTCATTACTTTTGTGCCAACCCGATATTTTAATAGCACACGAAAAAAATAAAAATACGTATTTATTTTTCATAAAATAATTTGAAATTATGCAAGTTACTTGATGTTAACTTCATTTACAGAAGGTTGTTGGTAACACTAATTCTGTCTTTTACTACTGCAACGTTACATGTGTTATTTAAAGGTGAATTTAAGCTATTTCGCAAAAGTGTTGTACTTCTTTAAGATTTGTAAAAAATAAGTAAAAATAATCGTTATGAGGGTGGTGAAACCAAAATAAATATATTTAATTTTCAACATAAAAACGAAGTGGATAAATACTGTGTATATCTTTATCAGCCACTAGATTCGTCTCGTAAATTAATAAAGAGTTTGTCTAATAGAATTACGTCTATCTAAGACTTGTGAAAACATATTGCAATATATCAGAAAAGTTTCTATTTGCTATGAAAGACCTTATCAGCAAGTTGTGAAGTCGGCCCTAAAGAGGGAAGAGATCTTTCTATTGAACCACATGTAATGTTACCGCATGTACCGCGGTAGCAGCACCCGTTCACGAGCAAGGTCAGCCTTCGTTTCGCTGAACCATATTTTTGGGAACGAAACGAGCCAACCCACTCGATACCACCGCAATCTTTAAAGAGAGCATGACTATCTACCCACTCCTTTTAACGAAGATAGTTAAGCTTTTGACATCTTTATTAATATTTGCAGTACACGGTAGAAGATCTCTGTATGATTCACCAATTTTATATTGATATTGAACTGCAATGCTGTAGAATTTTTTCAACAAATTCAACTGCATCCAAAAATATATAATATAAGATTGGATAATCAGATGGAACTGAATAAGTGGAGCAATCTTTATTACTTATTTCATTAAATTCAAGTACTGATAGGTTTCCAGCCTGTCGCCCACATATAAGATAACAAAAAACTTTTCCTTTGGTTGATACTTACAACTTAGGGATATGACAAGCCTTGAGTCCCATTTATTTTGAAATACATTAACCGTATATTTATAAATCATTGATTTGTACTCTTACGTTGGTTTTGAAGTATTTGAATATAAATATCTAAAACAGTTCACACTATAAATTACCTGAAGTTTGATGAAAAAGTAGTAAGTACTAGTAATGAAAGTGAAGAGTGCTTGACAGGTACCTGGAATGAAATTTTTCTTTTGGCCAAGCAAGTCATAGCGCTAAAATTAATATTAGTAAATTTCACATTAATATAACAATTTGACTTAACGTTTACAACAATAATATACTTTGATTTCATGGATGGGAATGTATTGTTTTGTGCCCTTCTTTCACGCCGCAAATTCCTTGGATGGAGTTTGTTGTGATATGAGTTAAGTATAAAGTTAAGAGAAAGGTTGGAGATAAATCGACTGACTAATCAATTATACGAGTACTATGGCGATTATTATAAAATTTCTGAATGTCAACCATGCATCATCAGCTTCAAAATTCTTAATATAATAATATTCTAATTGCCATCCCGACTAAATGGTGAATATTCGAGATAACTCTTTATTTTTTTCAATGACTTGTTCAATAGTCAGAGACGTGACATAATTTTGTAGTTAATTACACCTTCCTTCAATTTAGGTATCGGCACATTCCGACGCAAGATAAATCGCGTAGAAACAGTCGCGAAACTTTAGAACTAATATATCGCTAGTTGTAAACTAAAAGGCCAGAAATCAATATCAATCATAAAAATTGCGCCATCGAACTCCACATATTAAAGTGCTAATTTACAGAAACGATTTTATATTCATGTAATCCTGATAAATTGACATGCCGTCAGTTTACAATACCTTCTTTCAGGGCATAATTATTACTGTAATTAAAAACGGACGGATGACAAAGCGTGGTAAGATTTGATAAATTTTTAACATAACCTTTCTGCATAATGTTCATAAAGTTTGATGAAGCTCTTTAATGATAATGGCTACCCTTAAAGTATGCTAAATACTGATGAAAGCTTTCGTGGACTTACGAGTGACCTCATGAAAACGCCTATTTGTTAAATGAGGCACCGCTACACGAATGTACCTATAATACTTCTTGCTTTAACAATCACATTGAGATATTAATCATCATCGTTTACATCAAAGTGTGAAAAAATATGGTACAAGTAAATTGTTGTTGTATTTTTATTAACAGTTGAGTTACTTATAATATAAAAAATATTTTTTAACAAATAAATTTACTTTAAATATCCTCAGGGGTTTTGAAAAATATCTTGATCAAATATCAGACAGTTATATCTAAATTTTAGACTTATTTCTTCTCGTAATTTTATATATTTTTATAGTAAATATTTGTATAGCGAAAGTCTGGTTCAGAAAATCTACATAGTTTGCGAGCAAATATTTTTGATATCCTATTTAATGTAAATTACCACTCTAACTCGCGTTTTTGTTTTGTGTTCTCTTTACTTTATACGCATTCTTAAAGAGGTCATGGCATGCTTCCATAAAAATAAAATGAAACATTCATATTATAACGAGGAAGTGGGTCATATTAAAACAAAAAAAAAGGTAGGTCTCTCTAAGGGAGAGCAGTGTTTTATGTTATAATTGAATGTAGGTATACTTTTATTAATTAGATAATAAGGACTTGACATTTTAATACATTTACTAATAAAGAGTTGCCTTTCTATAAAATTTCAGAGTATCGGTAGTTTACCCGCGTGCGCGAGTGTGGGTGTGCGGGTGTGTATGTGTAAGTATACCGTATGTGTGGTGTGTGTGCGTTTGAGTAAAGTAAAACACAGAACTTTAAATTATAAAACTTATATTAATACTCAATAAATAATAACTTAGTAATACATTAAGCTTTGGTATTAGCATTTATAGACTATAGCGATTTCTTTATCCAGTCTTGTAAATTGTAGCAGCTTGTCCCACAACTTCTACAGCAGGGCCTGCTTTGATGATGCCATCCCTGACATTTCTTCCCATTTTCTCCTATAGAATGAAAAATGTTTTCTTTTTATCAAATTGCACAAAAAAATAATACTCCTTATGTAAAAATTACGCGCTCATGAAAAATTACCATAAGAATAAGAAAATAATATGTATGTATGACTAGACTGACAATATCCTCGTATAACAATAAATACAGAAAATAATATTTCATAAAATCTCTTAATATTATCTTTGCTAATAAGAATTGTAAAAAATTGCTTAATTTCGCAAAGTTTGGTTTAATCCAAGCATCCCACCATTTAATGGGGTAGGTAATTTGTACCGAACAATGTATACTTTTACAATGAACACAAAAGGAACGTTTATTTTCTAAAATTATACTCACGATTCTCTTAAGGATTTTCCATTTGGGAGCTGCCGACACCGTCGTTGTAGCCAAGAACACGGCAAACAGGAAAAAGAAAATCTTAGCGAAGTTCATTTTTATAAAAAATAAAATAAAGTTATTCTAAAAATATAATTAACTTCCAACTCTTACTTGCGTATGCAAAGTATTCGAACGAATGATAAATTAACCAAGCACGTTGGACATTATATACTTAACAAATACGCGTAATTATTATGATTTGTTAACGCAAAACAAACCTTATCTCTATGTTTAAAGTTAAATATAGTTCATCGATATTGTGGTATACAAGCGGTTTACAGGAATGGGGAACAACCTGTTTTGTTTGTTCTGAGATGTTTAGCTAAATTCATAATAGTTTGTATAATTAATATTTTTAACGAAATACTTTAATTAGTCATATACGTATGTAATAGTATATAAATGTATGTATGTCGAAGAAGTCAGCTTTAGTACGATTTCATATGGGGTTTCATTATTTGTGAACAAATGGAAAGGTTAGCGAATGTTGCAAATGTGAAATATGATAATTTACATATTTAGAGTTATAAAACGATAAATCAATAAATTCTATTAAGGGAACAAATAACGTATTCTTGGACTACGCTCAGTACACACTACATGCAACACAAATACCAACACTTTTTTTATAAAAAATGTGATAAATAATTATTATTACTGAGCTGACGCAAGACGACGATGAGTGAGACGGAATACAATATCACCCTTGTTGAATGACATTAATTTAAGTGGGTGCTTTTTTAATTTAGTAGCTCGGTGGCGTAATGGATAAGCGCCGCGGCCCGCATTTGTTGTCGTTAAGCAACTTTCGCAAGAGTCGGTCACGGGATGGGTGTCCAAAAAATTATTATCTCGTCCCGGCTGCATTTGCAGTCGTTAATACCCTCCAATCCGCATTGGTAGAGCGTGGAGGGTTATGGCCCATCCTCCTTAACCATCCATAAGGAAGGCTTGAGCCCCTGCAGTGGGGACGTAAAAGGGCTGAAGGTGCTTTTTTAATTTATTATTTATTACATCCCTTCAACATTCTGCAGCCATTAATAAAATATTATATTATCAAAAATATATATTTTTTACCCGACTGCCTGACGCAAAGGAGGGTAATCTGTTTATTAGTCTATGTACGTATATTTGTTACTATGTGGCGTTCTAGAGACCAAATCCGTAGGCCGATTTTGATGATTTTTACGTCAATCGATTCGTCTTAACCTTGCGAATGTCACTCCACAGACACAGTAATCAAAATTCACCACTACGACAGTCAGACGCCATTTTGTCAAAATGAAAAAAAAAATCGATGAACTATGTCAAGTGGCGTGTCGTTGAATAAGTATTTTAAAATTATCTTTAGGTTCCTTTTATCATTTTTCATTTTAAATAATAGTTTAAGATATATAACGATTTAAAGTTGTTTAACAAAACAATCATTCTCGTTAATTTTCTTACTTATTGATTTAAGTTTTTATTTAAAGTATAAACAAAATACAAACAAAGTGAAAAAGCATGAAGAACAAATATTTTTGGTAAAAAAAAAGAAATAAAATACTTTTATTCATCGCCAGAACGCCGAGTAAGTTAACCACCAAGCTCGATAGATAACTAAAAAGTATAAAATAAAATAAAATAATTTAAATAAATAAAAAACCCGACTGCGTAAAACCTAATTTTAAAAAATAACATGAAAAAATTAACTTGAATAAAAACTAAAAAGAAAGAAACAAGCCCAGTAGTTTAGAATTTTGTTAAGTAATACTAAATAACTACACAATTGAAATAGTTTTATAATCGATACACACATAAAACAAATCATAAATTCTAATCATCATAAAACAACTCATAGTCGGGGCCCATTCAAATCTTCCTAAGGGGCTACTGGGCTTGTTTCTTAAGTTTGTTTAATTTTTATTCAAGATATATTTTCGTGTATTTTTTTAAATTCGTTTTTAAGCAGTCGGGTTTTTTGTTTTCCTTTAATTTTTTTTTAACTATTGCTAGATTTAAAAACTATTTACCGAAATGTATGTGTTGTATATACAAGCATGTAAAAACAAATAGGTATATAGAATTTTATTAATTGCTTAAAAATCAAGTTTGTCCAGATGGGATAGCAGCAGGATAGTATCGTAAAAGCAAAATTGATCAAATATAATAATTGAATATGTCTGTATTAACTCAAACATCGTAACACCGAATTTGTTTTTACTCTAAAAATAGATTCTAAATATAAGCTTCTAGTATATGAAATTATCTATCCACATTAGTTGTGTAATAGATATTTTTTTTTAATACACGTATAGTATTATCTCTTTTTTAGAATCCAATGTTTAGATATTTATTTTAGCGTAAGATTAAATAAATTTCTTGGTTGAGATATGAGTTTCTTTCTCTTCTTAGTTTGACCGCAGAGTACGTGGTGATAACATATGACAATGTATTTTTATTACATAATCTGATGTATTTTTAAGTTGGTATCATTATAGGAAAGTAAACGCTCTGCAAAACTTTAACCATGCCAAAATTAATTCGCCTTGGTCAGCGTAATTTTCATAAAAACTGATCCAAGTTTTTTCCTTCCCGTATTAATGTATAGATTATTTACATTACATCGTATACAATTTATATTTAAAGTCATGACCTCTAATAGTATCCTGATAACATCTCACCGGCACAAGTCAGTATAAAATATCAATATGCATTAAGTTAATATTATCGTCAGCTAATAATTGTGCTCACTTATTGAAAAGAATAGTTACAGAAAATATGGAACACTGGCCGCACAGGAAAAGTGAAAACGGGAAGTGAGTGTTAAGTACTGACAAGCGGGGTTTTACAAAATTTGCCCGTTTTGTGGATTTCTTTTTATTAGTTATTTTCTTATTTTGAAGGCTTCTTTTATTTTATTCAATTTCTTCTTCAATTTCTTCCTATTCTGGGCTTTTCCATACATTTCAATATTCAATTTCTTCCTATTCTGGGCTTTTCCATACATTTCACTCCAGCTGTTCTTTTCATTTTTATTGTTTTTTTTGTTATACCTTGCAGTCATTTTCTATCCCAAGAACTCCGCTCCGTAATAACGTTACATGATGAGTTTTTTTTAGCGTCGCGATCAGACTATTGCGATAGTCTGGTCACCTTAAACCTTCATACCAGGTGACATTTTTGACCTTGTTCTGGTCTTCGCGTCACTGATTTCTTTTTCGGTCTCCAAAGCGACTCCTACTTCAGTTTCTTTTCGATTGCTTGATTTCGATATAATAATAATTTTTACACAATTTTTTTTCCATTATTAGGAATATGAAAAGTATATTTCAAGAAATACACATTTTGTTCTATAACAAAACTGAGCTTTACGCTCTCTATAATATTAACTTACTTTAAGTAGACCTTGATTTTTTTTCGATTTAATACATTTTTATCGTCTATATGATAACTTGTCTTTGTGAGGCATCACTTTGTAGCGAAAAAGCGTTCTTTAATTATGGTGTACAATAAAATATTCATTCATATTTAAGTTTAAATAAATTGGAGAATACAGACTTTAATGATTTCGCTTCCTAAATAACTACTCTAAAAAAACTTATTAGGGATAAATTAATTAATTGAATATGTAAGTGTCAAATTATCATAATGAAAAAAAAAAGTTATCCAAATGAAAATGACGTTAAGTAAAATTATAACGAAATACTTAGTTTTTTTTTTTAATTTCAATACGTTAACAATATATTTGATCAATGTTATATTCACAATGCTATACTGAAAAATATTCTTAGTGAAAATTGATGAAATATAATAATAATATAAATTTCATATTTATCGAATGTTTAAATATTTGTAAAAATATTTCTTTCCCTGAATATTGGCGAAAATACGCTTTGTAGTAGTGAAAAATAACAAGTTAAAGCAGTCTTTGAACAGGTTTTAAAGGCAATGTATTTCTGATCATTTATTTAAATTCTGCATAATTTTGCACATATATAAAATATACCACTTATGTTTTATTTATTCGATATCAATAAATAAGTAAATCCCCCCAAAATTTCAATTCTCAAAAGTGTTTACTGATCGCGAATATAATTGTTCACTGAACATCAAGCGGGGCTTCCCTCGTTCCATTCACTCCGTATTTTACACGAGGCTGATGATAAACGACATCAAATTTAATGTATTGAGTTAAGGTCTATTTTGCTATAACAGATCTCGTAATATTGACGTGCTTGCCTACTATATAACTCATAACGCATTTTGTAGTTCATCATTCGTTCCAAAAACTTTGCATTTGCAACACAAGCTCATTCATAGAATACAAAGTTCTGAATAACTTTAAAAAATGAATTTCGCCAAGATTTTCTTCTTTTTCTTTGCCATTTTCCTGGCCACAACCACAGTGTCTGCTTCACCTAAATGGAAATTGTTGAAGAAAATTGTAAGTTTCGTATTTTTTGGCAAATTTTATGAGAGACTTTTAAGTTAACACTTTTTATGAGAGAGTTATAACTTATTTCCAACATGTCTTAATAATTTATTGTTACATAAACTGTGCTTAATTTAAAATAAAATGTTGAATATAATAACATTTTTCACCTTTCTAGAACCGAGTTCTAGAAATTATATTGGAAGTTAATAATATATAAATAGTTAATACACATATTCAGCAATTGTTTAATAACTAGCTTAATTAATAATTACTGGCTGTTTTCCCGCGACTTATCCCACGTAAATTGCAAATTATATCGTAGCTTATTCAAAGCAAACAAATAATCCAACCTTTAATTTAGTATTATTTGTATAGATTTCTGAAATAGGGGTATTGTTTGTTAATATTTCTTTGAAATCATTTAAAGAAAAACTATTTTTCTACAGGAGAAGGCGGGACGAAATGTCAGAGATGGCATCATCAAAGCAGGTCCAGCTGTTCAAGTAGTAGGACAAGCTGCAACTATCTACAAGAGTGGATGAAGAAAATGACATAGGCTATAAACGCTAATACCAAATCCCACTGTATTTAATTAATCTTAAGATACTATTTATTTATTAATTATAAGACTTTTTATACTATTTCTTTCTTTTTTTTTCACTTTCTCGTCACTGAACTTACGTATCGGTAGATTAGAAATATATTTCTGACAATACTTTCCTCTCTTAGTGAATTTTAATAAAATTAATGGAAAAAATAATTATTGCAT